ACCTAAGCCTGCAAGACTATGCTGTTACAAGCATGGTTTTTGACAGCTTAGCTAATGTTTCTGCGGTTCCGGTAGGTGGTTTAGCTATGCCAACAGAATTCCTTCTGTCAGTTATACACTGACAAAATCTCTGTTCTGTAGACAAGCATTGGAAAACCATTGTGCCAAATGCCATTTAGTTATCTAAAGGTAGGCATAGAAGGATTCCCCATTCTCTCTCGTCTACACTTAGATTAGCATAAAGTTTTACTCAGTAAGTTCTACCACCAATATTTAGATAATAGCTTGCAATTATAATTCAATGTTGATTGGTTGTGTTTGGACCAGATTTTCATCAGAATTCAGCCCCTTTGTGCTTGTGGCATGGATGACTAGGGCACAACTGATAAAGAGAACAGGTTACAAAGGTTACTAGCTGACACTTGTGGTTACCTGTAACAATAGCCTTGAGTTCAGGTCTACAGAGCCCCAGGTCTACACAAGGGGATATATTTGAATTAAGATACACAACTTCAGCTACATTAATTGGTTAGTTGAAATATCTTAACTCAAATTTTTGAGTCGCTCATACTGCAGGAAGACAAAGGGAGTATACTCTCCCTTCGACTTCCCTTACTCCTTGTAGAAGCAGGACTACTGGCATCGATGGAAGTGCCCTCTCAGTTTGAATTAGCATGTCTTCATTAGAACCTCTACATTCGAACCCTGGAAGATCAACTGCAGCTGCTTCGATCTTATCTGTAGCGTAGACATGGCCCTAGGACTAAACTGATACTACAAATACATGGTTTAGTACTTAAGTCAGGACACTGCTCTGAAGCTCACAGAAGTACTGGCTTAACTAAGTTCAGATTTTAACCTTTTTCCTCATGTGTGGGGAGTCTCATTTTACTATTGCATGTAATTAAGAAATATTAGTGTTAAGTGTTTTCCTACAGCAAATAGTTGCAGATACACTCTCCCTCCGTGAATTATAAATCTTCAAGACTAACACAAGAGTTTTGTAAATGGGCTAAATCTAGGAATCTTAAGGAACATGTGTCAGTTCCAGATACTTTACAAAATATAAACCAAAGTGCAAGTTTAAACACCCCGAAGCACTTCAGAGTTAAACTCCTGTTGCCAAACCCCAGAGGACAATAGTTCAGGATCAGGTTTTTCAGCTGTAACAAGTCAGTGCCCTCTTGTGACAAGATACAAGAAATATGCAGTTTAGATTCCAGTAAGTAATTTTTGTATGGCAAACTACTTGGTGCGAGGTAGACAAACACACGCTGGCACTATTCATGAGGTTATTTTGAATACATTTACTTGCAATTGTGAAGTCCTAGATTTTTTATTTTATATATATATAAATAAAAGTCATGGTCTTAAACAAACAAGTGACACTCTCAGCTAACAGAAATTCACCTGTAAATTCACTATTCACATTATAGCAATATTATCTTTATATGTACAGGGTGAGGTAACCGCTCCATATATTACAGTTGTTTGAAGTGTATTATTCCTGTGCATCCCACTGTCAGGTTTCACATGCACTTCATCCATCCATCTGCTGCCAAGATTTCTTCCTAACAACATCCTTGTGCCCTCCTCCCTCCCCCACCAGCTCCAAGTCTAAGGGGCACTTTAGAAAGGGATATTAAACCCCATGCATAAGAAAGAAGTTAGGAAGGAGTTTTCCCAATGAGAAGCTAATCCTCAATAATTTACTATGGAAATTGCAAGAAATCCTAATGTCACATCAGGTACTAGGCACTGCTCAAGTCAGAATACAGCATTTTGATAGGATCACTGATGTGATCAGATATGGCACATTCTTTATTTCCTATGCAAAATTCAGTTAGGAGCCCCATCAAAGAAAGAGTGCAGAAAGTTCTTAAAAAACAAACTAGACCACATTTTCATTTGTATC